TTTTTTTTTGAAATCATAAGTGAGGATAAACATATTTGTTTAATCAAAGAGATTTTTTCAAAATAAAACAAGACAAAAATTTTTGGTCTTTACCGTCATCAAATTATCTGCTTTTGTTACATCAACTTAACCGGTTGTCAAAATTTTACTGTCTGTCACTAAAACTACCGATAATTGATTAGCCTGAGAAATAAAATTTGCTCGTTATTGTAAGAACCCATCCAATAATAGATCTATAAAAAAACGATACTTCAGTCACCAAATTTTAACGAAAAGATTTTTCTATTCAAGTAGCAAAAAAAAAAGTACTATAGATATATGGTAACAAATACTGACCATTCGAAATACTTAATGCTGTTCGTCTTTTTTTTTTTTTTTTTCTGTTTAAACTCATAAAGAAAATGTAAAAGACAGCCACTGTGATAAGCAACAATCCGCAGTTGACGACAGTACTGTTGCTCTGTAGCGGTAATGTATAATTGTGGTGATTTGATAGTTTGGATTGATCAGCAAAAAAAAAAAAAAAGAACTATGCATATCTCATCAAAAAATTTTAGCACTAAACAATCCAAAAATAATGAACAAAACGATGACAATATGAAGAGTTGGAGAGGGAAAAAACAAAAGAACAAAGCCAATTAAGAAGGTCTAATAGAAAAACTTCTTTCAGTCTCATCTTTTTCCTCCTTTTTCATCTCTTCACTCCTTTTACTTCCTTCACATTGTTCTACTTTCCTTTTTCTTTTTTCCTCTTACCATTTTGTCGCCTATAAAATATAAAAATGTATAAAAATAAAAACGTTAAAAACTTCAAAGCTGTTGTGACCGACAAATATGTGGTACTGTGACGGTTAATACAGTGAATGAATAGTAGCTGAATAAGTATAACCTCAAAAACAAAAAATCTATCTATATATCCATAAATGATTTATATTACAGTTTTTAGCGGCACGTGTAAACCTTGACACAAATTTTTTGTTTTGACAAATTTTTTTGATGTTAACCAAGTCAAAGTCAAAAAAAAGTAATAAAAAAAAAATAAGGAAGGAAAATTTAAGATGATAGATTAAGAAAAGTGTTTAAGCCGTAGCGACTATCAAGCAAATTGTCTCTCCCCTTTTTTTTTCGCTGTCATTTGTTACCGCTATTGTCACTTATTCTTATTTTAATACATCAGCTTATTTGAGGTGGTAAAAGAAGTCATACAGTTTTTTTTACATGTTATTTTACGATGATAAGTAGAGCTGAAAATAAAGTGCTAAAAAAAAAAGAACGAAGAAAATAAAACAGAAAATAAATTAAATTTTTTCCCCCTAAACCTCCTAAAAAAACATTTGATAAAGTTGTTGGAAACTTCTATGTATATATTTTGTTTGGTTGTT